CAACGCTGAAAAAATGTAGGAGACAAGTTGAAACCATTATGTTTGTTTCTTCTGTAATATAGTCTCTTCTAGAACCTCACCCTCCCAAACGCAAGGCATATTTCCAGATACAGTATACTGATCCTTAATTAGCTCTTACATGGCATTGTAAAGGTGCAGCAACATTAAAATGACCTAAAGTCTTCTATGATTAGATTAAATTTTCTCCTTCTGGAATTATTTCTCTAACTCTTTCCACAGAAATCTTTACTTTAATCAACTGTTCTTACCTCTCCACAGTTGTCTGGTTGTCCTGTTGGTCTTGATTCATCTTGTATTCTGGATTTTCTTTAACAGGTTGCTTGATCTGCTCTAAGATGTCACTACCCTGTTTCAAAGCCAGCCTCAGATCATGCTAAATATCAATTAAAGACACAAACAAGTCAATTGAAGTAAGCCATGACATCAAGGCTATACATATACAGCTTGACAACTACCCCTTTGCTATTACAGCTGATAGTGCTATAAATAGCAAGTGTTAATCCCACTGTAGTGAATGGTACACTGAACATGTAGCAGTGAAGTAGATAGAACACTATAAAGTTTTCCCCTCCAATTCGTGCCATTCAATGCTTGCAATTTGTGGGCAATTTCAAACATTTGCAATCGCAGAAAGCATCAAGACAAGCTATCATTTGAAATTTCTATGGAAACTGTGAAAATTAAAACTGTTGGTGGTAGGTTAACATAGCTAGATCAGTTTTGCCAAGAATGGGCAAACATTAATGTATCCAAATGTGACAGATCAGTTGATGGTTTAAAAAAAAAAAAAAAGCTAAATTCATACCTAAATGTACATAGTATAATTGGCTATTAACATGTATAAGTAATAACACCAGAGATTGTTGATCCAGGAAATATTTGATTGCATTAGGGGATCAGAAAAGATTTATCCCCTGTTGGAGCAAATTGGGCCATGCTTTATAAGGTGTTTTTTTTTTTTTAACCTTTCTCTGGTTCAACTGTGCGTTATAGTGCTCTGATTATGGAAGTTTTTGATTTATGTATTCATTTTGTTTTTATTAGTTGAATTTGATGTCTTTTTTTCAACCTTACTTTGTAACTAAAAAGACCTGCAAGTAAAATTGCAAAAGATATTTCTACTTTTTAGAATGATGAATACTCATGCAAGCATGAAATGTCTGTTTCCTTGTTAAATCCTATATTACTGCATATAATGCGTACGTCCTACTTTGGCACTGTGCAAATTTACCTCTGCCTGGTCCTTCCCCAGTGAGATTCCACCTCCAGCACACAGATTCGTCTATCCCCAGTGAGACGCCCACCTGCAGCACATGGATTGTTTTTTTCCCCCTAGTGAAATCCCACTTCAAGCACACACACACTGATCTTTCACTGGTATCCTTCCTCAGCACCCACACACACTGATGTTTCACCTGTACCCCTCCTCCAGCACACACACATATTGGTCTCTCCGCTGTACCCCTCCTCCAGCACACACACTTATTGGTCTTTCCCCTGTATTGCCTCCTCCAGCACACACACATATTGGTATTTCCCCTGTATCCCTCCTCTAGCACACACACATTGGTCTTTCATCTGAATTCCTACTCCAGCACACACACATTGGTTTTTCACCTGTATCCCTCCTCCAGCACACACGCATTGGTCTTTTCCAAGTATCCCTCCTCCATCATACACTCTCAAGTTCCTCCTCCAGAGACTCCATAGTCTGCAGTCCCACCACAAAAATTACATCTTGAACACGGTCGGTGTCCTCTCCATAGACATGGGGGTGTGTGAATACTTATGCAAAGTTTTGCAACACTGAGGTAATATAAAAAAATTATTTAAAAATATAGAAATTGTAAGTCAACTACAATCCTCCTTCCCCGCAATGTACTATTCCAGGGGCAGCACTTGTAAGAAGGTCTTCGGCCAACACTACAGACACACGTTTAGATGGTTGTGTATTATTCACCTTCATCTTGTCTTTCTTCTCAGTGTGCACAGCTAGAAGAGCATTGGTTGTTGATACATCATTAGGGAGCTCTGTCTCAGCCAACTCTGTTCCAAACACCTGCAGCGTCTGTGCAGTCTGCTTCACCATTAGAGCAAAACTTTCTATAGCCTAGAAAAAAGCATCACAGTAATAAGCAAAACACTGGTGGGTAACTAGTTACTATTCAGTAGCCTCATCTTCTCCAACAGCGACATACTTTACTATTACAAGTTTGCACACAAAAAAAGCACATATTGCTGTCTATTGGGGCTACCGTAATCTCAGTTACTTATTTGTCACAGTATATGCTCCGACATATACGGTTAGTGGTACTGTTAATTCTTAAATGTATGCATCATCTACCGCCAATGGCCAGCAATAAGATCATAACAGCTATTTCCTTGCCAACTGTAGGCTTTCACCTCACTCTCCTAATCACCCTAACAAAAGTCATTAGGCGAAGGGTTAAAACAGTTATGACAGAAGTGCAGCAGCAGGCTAGGAAAAATGCCAGTTGAGCACCACTCCTTTAGGATAATCTATACTACATTATTAAAACAGCATTAAGATGGAAAAAATAACCAGTGGAATACAAATAATTCAGCTGTTATACATTCTTTAATTTGTTTTCTCTGCAAAGTTGATTCAGCTCATCTACAAAGAAGTTTTTGTAACGGGTCAGTCACTTTTGGCACACGCAAAAGACAGTTTCCTGTATACCTTAAAGGTGGCCATAAACTGTACAACCATCGCAAGACGTTAGTCTTGCGATGGTTGTAAAGTGATTAAAAAAACGTACGATCTGCCCATCTTGGACAGGCAGATCGTACTCTCGATCATCCACCCTGAGGGGCGGGCTTCAGATGACCGCAATGCTGAACGGGCAATGTGTGTGTGCGCACACCGGCCCGTTCGGCATTTGTCTCTCGAGCACCGTTCAAACCAGCCGAAAATCCGAAAAATTTTCGTCTGGTTTTCTAGCGTGCTCCCTAGACAAAAGACGTGCGACCGTACAGTAAAAACGGTCGCACGTCTTCCATACACTGTGCGATTATCGTACGATCGCGGGATTTCCTGCGATTATCGTGCGATAATCGCACAGTGTATGGGCACCTTAAGAGAGATATCTGCACTTTAGTTCTGGCCTGCACACCTGCCATGGCCATGCTGAGGGGTTCTCAATTATCTTTCTGGATGTTTTATCTATTTGATAACATGGAGAACAGGGAAAAAAAATGAATCATTAGAACAGCACAATCTCACTGCTAAAATGCCCCCCAAAAATAATAAACCAGGGGTTGAGTCAGCCCTCCCAGCTCTATCATTAAAATATCACATTTTGGCGGGGTGACGCTTTACCATGAATGAGGCCAAAGTAACTCCAAAAACAGCATTTCAAGCATACATACCAACCACAACGACAGCTTTCAATCTGAAACAGGCTGTCCAATGCCACATATCAGTACATACCTCAGGTTAAGATGCAAATCTGTCTTACCGTCCTATGTAAAAGCCAGTTTGTATGGCAATAATCCAGTGTGCCACCTAGGTCTCGTGTAAGCTGTGTCTTGTCGATGTAGCTCTGTAATTCTGCGGCTGAATTCAGCATTATGATCTGTGCAATACGCAATCAAAAAAAGTATGAGCATCAGTAGTAAAACATTCTCTATGGAAAACAGTGATAGAGCTAGAATTATGGCTCTGCAATCATAATTATGGCCTCAGCTACAACCAAGGGCACTATCTACATTGGGGTGTTTATTGTCTCCTCATGGTTGTGTGGCTTTCATCTTGCTTGCCTTGCCCCATTCTCCATGCACAATTTAAAAATAAAAATACAAGTTAAAGTGATCATGAAGTGAAAAAGTTGTTAAGCCATTTGAAATGCTGATTAAATCACTTACAATGAATGCTGCTACTTGATTTTTAAACATTTTATTTTCCCGCAGAATCAGCTGGTCCCCTAACCACTGATCCTGATATCTTATTTTCGGGTGGCTCCTTTACCTTATAGGGTCCCTTTGGAGCCACCCTTGTGTGTGCGTCTCCACAAACACACAGACACAGAAAAGGCAAACCTCTCCCCTGCTCCTCTTTGGTCCCGTCGTCTCTAAGCTAGTAAATGGACAGTTGCGGACACTGCACTATCACTTGTGATCTTGGACTGGGCATGACATTCTGGGAAGATGAGCTGAGAGATTCGGATTCAGCTGTTTGAAAACATGATGACTGTAAAGGTACTTGGGAAGAAATGTCAAAAAACACTTTGCTGGGCTATGTATATTTGTTTTATCTTGATTAAGTATTGAAAAAAGTTTAAGATTTTAATACTACTTTAATTGGTTCTGAGTTCTGACTATCACTAACTTTAGGGTGTGTATGGGTGCTTGTTTTACCATAACAGGGATGCTAGTCTGTAAGCTTTACTGAAGTGAGTACTGAAATCACTGGTGGAACATGTAGTCTGTAAAAGGTGATATAACATGCTGGTGATTTATATTAATAAAGGAAATGCAAAAATAGTTATAGTAATTAGTAAAGGAATAAAATAAAGAATAAAATAATACAAATAGATGCATGTTGTTCCACTTCAACATCAATGGTAATAAAAAGCTAAAATAAATTAGATAAATTAGTTGGCTATTGTGCAGTAGATGAGCAGCAAAGCAGAAATGCTGTGCCAAGGAAAATGTGCAAACCCTCAGACTGCCAAGTCATTATGTAGAAATTAGAGCTTCTTCATTACAGTGGACTGTTTCAATATAGAAAATAAGTGTACATGATGCATTAGATGCTCCTGTACACATGGGTCTACAGGCAAACTAGGAGTTTAAATACTGATTCCTAAATAAAGGATATAAATAAAGGATTGTGATCACTTCATCCATAATTACATGGACTACTGAAGTATTTTCTTTTGTAACTGTATGCATACATTAAAATCAAATGTAGGCAACATACTTAAAGGGAAACCTGCACTTAGATAGCAAGGTCCTCTTTTTTATTGTGGCCTTGCCTCCTTGCTAAACTGCTCCAATTAACTAAAAAAAACAAAAACAACTGATGGGGAAAACAAAAGAGATAATATTTTTACTTTCCCTCAGCTTCTGCACATGGCACGTAGGCATGGGTGATATCATCCTTTCAGCAAGATCCTCAGGATTTTTAAATAGTCTAAATCTCCTAAAAAATGATCCTGCACTGTGCTGCAGTGTCATCTCATGAGTTTTGGAGTATGCATTACCCATTCCTGTTGGTCAGATGGTGACGCCACCCCCCCGCACTATGGATGCCAGGTTAAAAGTAAGTACTGTATATTATCTAACTCCCCCCACAAGTGTTTTTTTTAAAGTTAAATGTGGCATTATAGGAAGGGTGAGGGGTGGGGTGCCATGCTAAATAAGAGGATCTGGGTGGAGTGCAAGGTTTTTGAGGCAATCTACTTACGCATGATTGGGCACTGCAGCTACAAATGTGAAGACTTTCCCTTATACAATTTATGGAGTGAACTCCTTTAGTAAATCAACAGATTCCTCCATCTACACTACACAGCATGGATGGACGAATCTCCTGCAGTGTTATTCGTAGTCTGACAGTGGAGGGTGTGCCAGAAAACCCAACGGTGATGAAAACCAATTGGCTGCCGTCACTGTTTACCCGAAAATTTTCCATCCAGTTTTTCTGAATCAAGGATGCTGGCTGGAAAGGTATGGCCCGCTTAAATCTAAGCAAAGTCTTAACAAGAGCTCAAGAATTGCTTCATAATGATAAAGACTATTCCTTTCTTAAATTATACACAGGAAGTAATTCATGAAGACTTGTAACGTTACTGACAGGTCCACTTTAATAGTATTATTTCACTTTATCCAGTGACTTCCCACAAAAAAAACCATACATTTATCTAAATATTTTAGTTGCAACTTCAGTTTATCACAACACAATTTTACTTCATTAACAAAATTGCAATATATGGTACTTACCGGTACCTTCATTTTAAAGTCATCTTTGTTCAATTTCAAGGCAATATCTGCCAGGGTGCGATGGAAGAATCCTGCAGGACGCAAAACAATGACAAGCTGCAGGTTCCCTGGGAATGAGGCCTACAAGTGAAAAGTACATACTTATTATTCAGTGCTGTTGCCTGTTGGGTTCAAATTGTTATAAATATTTTTTTATGGCTGCAAGTATGCTGTTTGTGATCAACTTTATTTTTCTTAACAGTCCATTCATTTTGCAGAAATCTGCATCATATGTATGTTCAAGTCAGAAACTATTTTTCATAATTGAATACAAAAGGCTCAATTCACAAAGCTTTATCACAAGGATAAGTATCTAAATTTTAGCCATGTGACTGTAATTTTCAAATATCATTGGACACATCTTAAATCAGCTGTCAGTTCTCTATCCTGGTTTGTTTGCTTTGTGAATTAAGACTTAAGTGTTGTACAATGCAAAACATCCGTGATAGTTTTTGTTTATCTGATCACTATTCATAGCGCATAGCCCCAACCAGCTGGAAGAAAAATGGTAAAGGGAAAACTAGTGGGGCTCAGGGTAAGACTCAGGAAAAAAAAAGAGAGAGTAGATGCATATAAAGTCAGCCCACTTTGTTGCCATTTCCACCAAACGTTCCTTGCCTCACCTCAGACTGGTATGTTGAAGAGTTACAATGTTAGAAAGCCACAATAATTAACACACTGGCTATTCTATAAAAAAGAGCTGGAAAACACATAGGAGTTAAATGACTGAAGAAGTAGAAGCTGTTTGTAAATAAGGTAAACCTGTGTTTACTTTGAATCCCCAGCCATGTGTAAGGGCCTATTTACATCTATGCAGTGCATTAACATGTGTTGCATTAAGGTAGTCCAGTCATTTGCAAGGGCTGCCTACGACTATAGAATACCAAAAAAAAAGGTTAATGCACCATTTCTAGCACCTCAGTGCACCACAATGAAGATATGGTCGGATAATGAATGGCAATGCAACGCACCAATGTGCAAAATTTGCGGTGCCACAAATGCAGTAACATGTTAGTTACCACAACCCCACAGTGGCAAACCATTCTAAGGGAAGTTAATAAATAATAGGTTGCTTGATAGGACATGGTTGATTAACTGAGGTGGATAAATTTCATCTTATTCACTAAGCTCAGTGGACATACACTTGTATATGAACAGCCTCTACTTCTTTTGTAAATCAACCCCCATGTACAACTGGTGTTTTTGGTTGCCGTACTGGCCAATGGCCATATGCAGATTGGATCAGTTACATTTAGTAGTACAGTGGATAGGCACAGACTGAGCTTACCCTCACCTATAGTGATAAAGCAACATGTCATATCTTTGCCTGCTATCTAAATAAAGAGCACTCCCTTAGACCATCTTCGTCAGTTTGGGACCTGGCAGGATCATTCCCTGGCTCCATAAATGCTGCCATGATATTGCCCATAACATGACAGAGAGACACATGGAAAGTCACTGGGTTGAACAGTGAATTAACATAGCACATAAACATAGCTGTTACTGCCAGCTAAGCCGTGGCAACGTACCGTGTCACTGTGAGGGAAAAGGGAAAGATTGTCCTTGAGATCAGTCATGAATTTCTGGTTTTACCCCCCTCCTCTAACTTAGCTGGCAAAACCGAAGGACTGGTATCCCCACAAAAATCAAATGAGCCCCATTCCATGTTGACAACAGCCTGTATGCACTTTAGTGGGTACTTTAACATGGGGGCGCCAAAAGACATAATAGGGAACTGCACACTCATAATGCACTTGCTAAGGGGATTGCTGCCAATATGCCTGGTAGAAATCGCTGGTATCTTTTAGGGGAGGAAAGGCACTCATTTGTGTTTTCAATTTGAAAAAAAAATAAAGGGACAAAAAATTGGCTGTGAATTAACCTAACCTGCTGCACAGCTTGAACCTGGAAAATCTATTTATTCATCTCTGCTCCTAACTTAAAAAAAAGAAAATAACTTTCAAGTAGAATATGCCAAGGCCACTGATTTTCCTCTGCTAGCTGCTCGGCATTGCTTCAGTCTGCTTTATAATGCTGTGATTCTGCTTCCTATGAGACATATTTGCAGTGAAAATCCAGGCAACGCTTAGAGCATTTTCTTGCATGATTTGGGATGCTCATCATTCCCAGGATCTTGCTGGAAGAATACGGACGTCCCCATTCCCAGTGCAGAAGCAGGGATAAGGTAAGTATATATTTTCTAACTTTTTTCACATGTGTTTTCATTTTACTGCAATAATATGAAGATTTCAGATGAGGGGAGGGGCACCATGTATTAAAGTGACACTAAACTCAGGAGGTAAATCTTAAAAATGCATTCACGTACCCCAACTATTAACATAAATGTATCTTATTCGTGTATTACTCGGCTGTAGATCCTCAAATCATCTCTGAATTGGTGCTGACACTGTCCTTCCTTCTGGAGGGTGGCTACTTCTGTTCCCCATGGTCCCTGTGTGTGTTGTAAAGTAGTCACTGCTCCAATCTCATTCCCGTAATAGACTATATCTTCAATACAAATTAGCTAGCTAAAGGTGAGATTGTAGTCCATCATGGTAGCAAGCTTGAAATAGTGGTTACTTTACAATTCACACAGGGAACATGGGGAGTTTAGTGTCACAATGTCACTTTGAACTACCCCTGCCTTTTAGTGCAAGGTTTGCTTTAACCTTATCCCTTAAATACATTTGGAACATTTAATCCCTCATGTTTACACTTAACTTTACCCTAAAGGCAGCCTTTAACCCTTAAACCCCTGCCCGAGTCCTTACCTCCTAACCTATCCCTTAACACATCTCCTCTGGCCTCTATGCCTACACAGGACGCCTGAGCAGGAGAATGGCCACAATTACACTGTGTGTGACTTAGGGCTAGTTCACACCATGCGCGTTCCAGGAGCAGAGCAGTTACAGAACGAATGCTGCGTCCAATGTATTCTAATAGTATTTTGGGCTCTAGTGCACACGCAGCGTTCAGTTCCAGAGCATGTAAAAAAACTGCAGCATGCCCTATTTCTCCTGCTCTAAAACGCATGCAAATGCATCAAAAACGCATACAAACACCCTGAAAAGCACTGAAAGTTCATTTTAGGCTAAAAAAAAAGGCGTCAAAACCCACTGCACTGCGTGTGCAGAAACTCCTGCAGATCTGGTCTGCATTTGGTGTGAACAAGCCCTTAGCTGATTGCTAATTGAAAATGAAACATTTAATATAGATTAACATTTTCAGACTAATTCCCATGCTTGGAAATCAATCCCCTACTTACAGTCTCATTGGCATATATGGAAAGAACCATTCTAACTGGAAGAACATCAAATTATGAGATAACAAGGAGTCCTGCTCTTAGACTTAGAGTGCCCTACTGGCCCGCCACTCAGTCTAGATGCAGAAAATAAAATACAATAATTATAAAAAAGACCTGAAGATCTATTTGCACCAAAATGTACCAAAACTGTCCAGGATTAACAGTGAATGCATTAAGGGTAGACATACTGTACTTATATTGTAATAGTGAACCAAAATGCTTACAAGTACAACAGAATTAGATCAGCAGCTGTATTAAAATCTACAAGTGTTACTATGGTAAATAGAAAACCAGCAAACAGGCCTCAAAATTTTTTACGTCAGCATTATATAGTGACAGCAATTACAAAGATTCACTGCCAAAGCCTAAAATAAATTTAAAGGACTACAACAACAATGAATATCCTGAATAAACAAGTGTATTTTTGGAGATATTAGATTAGATATGGTTGTGTTGACCAGGCATGCAAAAGTCCTCATAGAATTTAGTTTAATGATGATGAGAAACATATTACTGCAGCTATATCTGAGTGGATGACTAACTGATGCATAATAATGGTTTAAAAAAAAATGAAAACATGGCAATTTTACCTTAAATAAGCATAAACACATGCACCAAGGGCCCTGCTGATTTAGCATTAAAGGACTTACCGCAATCCTTAATATTGATGCTTTCACAGATGTCCATTTGTCCAGCCTCCGGTCAATGACTAAAATAAATCCAATTCCTGCATCTTGTAAACTAGAAGTAGGATTAAAAAGGAGAGAGGCTGCAGTTATTATTATTCCACGTGTGGATGCTGCCTCCTTCACTATGGTGCAGCTTTTTTTAACTCTCTCCTTACTGAGCAAAGCTAAGTACAGATGCCGAAATAAAACTGCAAGGCTTTACAGGCTCAATGCCACCTTCCCATGTGGGGTCCATGGAGCTGGTTTTACATGACCCATGCAATGTCATTTATTCCATCTTAGTTCAATCTGCGACAGCCCGCATACCCTTGCTTTTCCTTCCCATCACCACCATTCTTGCAAATGGTCTTCCCAAACAAATATGTCTCATCCTCCAAAGCAAATGATGCATGTCCATACAGATGCATTAATTACATAGCTGTTACGACGCAGTATTTAGCCTCCATCCTCCACCATCCAGCCTATTTACACTATAAGGGTTGTAGATCCACCTTTATCACAGCAATATCATACAGCTGCTTATTGAGAGGAGGTACATGCCAGATAAAAAGCTGCCTTCATTGCTGACTGAAGAAATGACCTTTGGTTTTTCTCCTTTCTGCTCTGTTTAGCTGCATATGCTATAGGCATGGAGCGTGAATGGCCATATATCCGCTTCTATTCGAGGATCTCAAAAGCAGGGAAATTGTGCAGTGCCAGCATCTGACTGGGGGTGGGGGCCAATCACAGCAGCTTAGAAGGAAAATGCTGAAAGGCTGACAAGAATAGCGAATGGCAAGTATATTGCAGGAGATACAGCGTAGGAAAGCCTTCTCTGACTAAAATAACCAGTAACAGCGTTGAGTAGAATCATTAATACTGACTTGCTGCAGTATTAGGATATCTGAGGATAGCTTATTATATATTTTTTTAAATAAAGGATTCTGTAAGGAAAGAAAATGGCAAATTAACACTGGAATCTAGTTTGTGACTCGAGTTCGGCTATCTATTTATTCATTATAAAAAAAGATATAATAAACACAATAACAATATCATATAAAGTCAAAGCTGTTCTTCAGTCATACTATGGTTGCAAGCATATGGCTTACATTATTATGAACTGAATACTACAAGTTCCACTTCTAATGCTGGCCACGTAGGAAGAATATGGATGAAGATTTAGGCTTCTATAAAGACAAACCTGAGTGGAGGGGTAACAATGAAAGCAAAAGAATGGTTAGGATAGCCTACATGAGTGTTAGGCAACCAATAGTTATCTAGTTGTTGTGGAACCAAGTCTCAGCATGTTCTGCCTGCCGAACCCTGTACAATATCAGCCAGTGGGCTGGTAGAGTGTGCTGGAACCTGTAGTGCCACAACACATGGGGATCTAAAACTGGCAACAAATGGTAAACTTTACAATCTCTGCACAACCTTCTTTAGATTTACCAAAACTATGTAGCAAAACAGTTTACCTAAACAATTGCTCAATTTATACCAAATTAGGGAGGTCCTACTACCACTTTTTGTTAATTCGAAAGGAGATTGCACAATATGAATGCAACAAAGAATGCTTCTGGATGGACTAAAGGTATGACACTCCACTGATGTAGCCTGACGATGCTGGAAATGCACCTGTGAATGGCAAGTGGCAGCTAAACTAACTCCTAGTTCTGTTATGTTTTTTCAATGCAACAAACGAAAATTTCTGGAAAACCATGGGGTCCATATCTATAAGCTCTGGGCAAATCCAGGCACACTCTGACAGGATTTCGAAAGCAAACAGCAGTCTTTACTGATGAGGCAAAAGAGTTGCTTAAGCATGTGACAATTGTGCTCCCAGCCTCACCCTGCTCAGAGATTTTCCAGCTGGTGGGACAACAATCTACTTGCCAGCAGACTGAGCGTGATCACCACTGGGGTCGGTGAACTCTGCAGTTATCCCTTTACACACAAAAACAATAGCTGCCACCACAAGTTTGAAAGGGGACATGCACCGTTTACAGTATCCATTATAGCAATTATAACCTCTAAGAAATATCTGTAAAATCCCCAGCCACGCCAGAAAGGGACAAATTAAGAGTTTAAAATAGGAGGGCTATAGTTTTTGATTATACTTCAGTGAACACTCCTTTAATTTCACTTTTCTAACTATATCAATATTTAAGGGTTACTGTGTTTGACAGCCTACATATTATGGCACACAACAAAATCACGGTTTGATAGACATCAGACATGATTTTGATCTTACTCATGGATAACTCAGAAGAGGTAATGTGTCCCATCAACTTTCTGCACCTCATAATATGGGGTTGTTGGTACCTAACTGATCGTTACTTCCTTATACAATAATGTAGCCAGGTGTTATGAAGATGTCTCCATTAGGGTATCCCTTATGAGATATAACTAGAGTTGAGTGCTGGACATGTATGAAAGGGGAGTTTCAGGTCAAGCAGAGCCACACTCAAATGGGTATTCTCCTAAATGGCTTTACAACAGCCAATTACAGCCAAAATATGGCTTTTAGAACTATCTGCCAAGGGTTTAATGATATAGCAATTTTATAACAGTGCTCAACTAAATGTATCTCGCTTCAAGCTGCTTACGATGGCCAATTAGTCATTATAGAAGAACGCCAGGGAAATGTTTTCTTATCCCTTGCAGTGGAGCTACCCCCACTCTGCAAGGGTTAAGTGCTCATTTTTGTCTCAGTCCCCCAAAAAATAAAAAGTTATACTCACCAAAACCCCCGAGCCGGCTGTCTGCTTCTCCGGTCACTAAAGCTTTTCTGCTCCTATGCTACAGCATTAGAATGTTTCTCAGGTCCTCAAGTCTGTACATTATGAATACAACATTATGATTTATGGAACCTTACACCACTGCAGCGGAGGGGGAAAGAGCCTCCCGGGATCGGTCTAAAAGCAAGCTGACTCGGAGGATTGGGCGAGCATAACTTTTATTTTTTAGCACGTAGACAAAATTCTGCCCGGGATTCTGCTTTAAGAGGTGTTACAGCTCCTGGGCTAGCAGGATTTATGACCCTTCTAAAAGTATTGTTTATTTAACTTGACCTCATACTGCTGGTGGTGTCTAGTGTGGGGGCATTCAGTCTTGTATGTAGCTTTTAAAAGTTGTCAATACTTGCTGAAACACAAACAGATTTAAATCTAAACGATTTGTTGCAGATTCACACATTTTGTAGAAATGAGCACAGTTTGCCACCTGACTTCCCCATTCTCCTTACGCAGTCTGGGGTTAACCAGACTTCATTATTGTCACAATGATTCCATAGTGGATGACTGAATTCACTAGTTCTGGAAGAATCTTATAGCATTCATCACTTCAGTAATATGGCTGCCAATTAATGATGGAGAATGTGTTTAGAAATCAGGCAAATTGTAACACATAGAACTTAAAGTTTATTTCAAGGCAACATTACCAAATAAAAACATATGCAGTACAGTTCTGCTACATAAACTCAATTCCCCATGTTTATCCCTTTAAAGAACTTGCAAGTACAGACAAATATCCGTTGAATTGGCAGAAATGCACTCAGCTACTAAGTCTGTTGCAGGCTGACAGCACACCGAATATTTGTGGACTGCATGGTGTCAGACATCCCAGTTGTCTTTTGCTAAAGTACTCAAACCTTCACCTTCCTCTACTGTCCACAACATAAAGGCTTTTTGCTCTGTAGACCAGACATAAGTACTAGGAGGGCTAACTAGGCTCTTTGAGCTAACACAGTGTGCACAAGACCCAGGACAGATCTGAATTTCTGACATGGTATTTTTTTATCCACTCATGAAACAGATATAACAAAATGCCATCAATTGTATATTTACCAGACCAAATGGATAAATAAGGGAATATTATTGTTCGGGTTGACATACACTTTAGGTAAGTCTGAAATTTGAAGCTTTATAAACAGACCCCAAGGTCAATAAGATCCAGGAAAGTACAGACCAATGCCTGTTTAATTTGTGTTGCCTTTGAAGGACAGAAGACTACAGAACTTGAATTGAATAAACAATTGTCCTATACTGTATATAGTATTTAAGACCTAAAATTACAAGACAGGTTTGCCCAATTGTATAATGAAAATAGGTCATGATTCACAGACCTACTTTTAATCATTAGGGTATGATAAAATGGGATCATTCTGGTGCAAGCTACCTTGGAGCTCTTGGGAGTTCCTATCCATGATAACTGGTGCATGATGCCTCAGTTTCAAACATGGATACACACTGCCATTTACGTACACCATAGAGATCCTATTCATATATGAAATGCTTTTATTTGCATTCAAATTGCCATCACAGAACCATCATCAGCTATCTGCTGGACCACATTATAGTGACAATATTCATACATGGACTATCAGACAGCATACAACACAACCCTCCAGCAACCATTGTTGGGGAAATAGTTAAAATCAGTGAAGATTTTCTTCATCCAATTGCTGTTTTCTCCAAGGTTAACCAGTGCTGCACCCACTCCCACCAGTACTGGCATAAACACACACAAGTCATCTAATGCCTATAAACAGCTTCAGTGTTCCAAATGAAACTGTCACTGAAACTGGAAGCCCTTGTGTGATGTTTCTGGCTTGCCTTTTGTTTGTTTGAAAAAATTGGGTATGTTTATATATAAGCCCCGGAAAACACTGTTTAATCAGGAACCAGCACAAGGAAAAATATGAGCTGTGCCAGCACAGACATTGCACAGTATGGTGTCATAGCATCAAACGTAAAGACTCAATTGTCTGACTTATTAAAACCAGCAATGCTGAGCATACAAACCAATGCCAGCAGACACACCAGCCTGTGCTTTGGAAGGAAATTCAGCTGGGGATGATTTATGAAAAAAGGAGAGAAAATTGAACTTTAGCTGTACGCTGTTCTCCATGAAAATGAAACAACCAATTCTGCTCTTCTTTTATACACATTAATTCTTGTTCTTCCACTGAAGAGATTTAACATTTTTTGTAATGCAGCCCACAGTTCCAGTGTTAATCATCAATGCCGTGGAGTTGGCTCCAGTGTTAAATCAACAATGCTGTGTAGTTGGCTC